TGATTCTCAGCATCCCATATGGTCCCCTGAGCTACCCCCATGTGTAATTCCTCAGTGCAGAGCCAGGAGTAACCCCTGTGCATTCGCCAGGTGTGACCCAGAAAGCCAAAATAAAAAATGAGATTGGGAGCCAAAATCTGGAAAAAACCTGAGTGTCCAAGAACAAATGACTGGTTAAAGAAACCTTGGTACACAGTGGAATACTATGCAGCTGTTAGAAAAGATGAAGTCATGAAATGTGCATATAAATGGATCAACATGGAAAGTATCATGTTAAGTGAAATGAGTCAGAAAGAGAGGGAAAGACATAGAAAGATTGTACTCATATGTGGAATATAAAGTAACAGAATGGGAGACTAACACCCAAGAATAGTAGAGATAAGGACCAGGAGGTTTACTCCACGGTTTGGAAGCCGGTCTCACACATGGGGGAAAAGGCAGCTCAGGTAGAGAAGGGACCAACAAGTAAAGGGCATTTGGAGGACCAGCTCAGGTTGGGAGATGCGAGTTGAACGTAGACTATAGATCGAACACAATGGCCACTCAATGTCTCTGGTGCAAACTATAACACCCAAAGGAAAGGGAGAACAAAAGGGAATGCCCTGCCACAGAAGCAGGGTGGGGGTGGTGGGAGGGATGCTGGGACCATTGGTGGTGGAGACTGGGCACTGGTAGAGGAATGATACTTGATCACTCTATGACTGAAACACAAGAACAAAAGTTTGTAAGTCTGTAACTGTACCCCACGGCGATTCACTAATAAAAATTTTTTTAAAAAAATGTTAAAAAGCTGAAGAAAAAAATAAGACTGAGATTGGGGAGCCTGAAAATACTCAGCATTGCTTCACAAAACATGAAATGTTTAATGTTTTTATTGCAGCACTAGTCTTAAATATATTACTGGGGGGGAAAAAAAACAATAACCCTCAGAGCTAAAGACTCAGTTCATTTATTGCAAGTGGACATACCATTTAACATAAGTGGTAAAGTTAGTTGCGTAATGCCAGACCAATCAGTCAGTGGGATTTCAGTTTTTTCAGAAATATATGACTTAATCTTGCACTTCTAATGAATGTTAACCCGCATATTCATAAGTCCCATCTCATTTTTTAATTCCAATTGTACAATCTGATATGCAACATAAGCTCATCACTGGAATGAAAGAGGCAAATCCCTCTACCCCTCCCCTTTCAGTATTTCTTCTGCTCTTATTAATCAGAATATTTAAGTTTAGATTCTGAAAGACAGATAATTTTCCAGTCTGGTCTTTCATGTCCTTGAACCCACAGTGAATGCTCCCCATACCTCCCTTACACGTGACCTTGGCTCCTAAATATCTCTTTGTATCCCACCCTGAATAAAAGTCAAAAATGATAAAATAATAGCTAATATCTTAGGACCATTCCACTTATAAGACTACACTTGATCAATTTTTCCTGCAAAGAAGCATCCTCTCTAAGCAACTCCTCTTCCATGTTCCTTTCTATCCTAAATTAGAATGTTCTTCTGACATCCTTTCTCCTGCCTACTATTTTGGAAGAAAGGCTTTTTTTTTTTTTTTTTCTGGTCTGGTAGGTAATAAAGAGAAGTCAGGAAGCCTTGCCTAATGCCTTAATTAGTGGATGTTTCACTTATACCAGTAATTTCAATTGTTCCTTTTTTCCTTGCTGTCCTGATGGGTTCTCCAGTGTACATCTTTAGGTCAGTACAGCAGAAAAACTCTGAATACAGAATCAAAGTTTTCCTTTTCCAAGTACGATAAGGACAACTGTGAATCCCTCTGGGGACTAGAAGCAGTATACTACTTTGCTATCCTGACAAAGAAGCTCTGTCAGGAAAGGAACATATGGAAATTGAGGACTGGGAAATTAGTTCCTTGTAGAATGACTTGCATACTGAAATTTAATGAGCACTGCTTTAGTATACTTAAGTGTCCAGACATAAATTATAAGATGTCACCATATAGCAGCCTTCTGTTAAACAGTAGAATCACAACAGACCCAAAATCACAACCACTGAGGAGTTATCAGGTAGCAAATCTAAATGCTTTTAAAGCATGAAAAGATATGAGAATATTTTTACCAGGTGACCACTATCACAACAAAGAGAAGGGAAAAATAATTTTTTTTAAAAAAGAAATTATATAGAAGTTAGCATAGAGAGACAAAGGGATAGAGCAGCATCCTCCTAAAGCCTTAGGAGACAAAGAAGTTAAAGGATAAAAATATCTCACATGGCTGGTCACAATTTCAGTTCGAATAGAAATAATAAAAGAAGCAATATTTGAAAAAGCTAAGAACAAACTGTTCCCCAAATTTCACAAAGGACATTCATTTTACAAATTCAAGGGAGTTAAAAATGACAAAGTTCATACACAAAAAAAGACACAAAATCAGAGTGTAAAGCAAAACATATTAAATGACTGTATTTTAAAATGAACATTTGAATAGCAAAGGATTCCACAAACCATTTTTTAAAAAATGAATTTGGAGAAGACACATGCAGTGCATATAACAAAGGAATGGTATCCAAGTCATTAAGAAACAGTAAAACAGAAAAAAAAAAGTCCCAGACAATAATATTTCAAAAAGAGAGTCACAAATGGTTAATTAACATATGAAAAGATGCCCAACCTCATTAAGACCCAGAGAATTGCAAATTTCACTCCCAACAGACACCATTTCACACCTACCAGATTAGCAAAAATTACAGTCTAATACCATCAAATATGGTGAGCATATCAGAGTTCATTTTACTATTCTTCAAACTCTACGCATCGTCAAGTATGTTCTTTAAAAAGCACATGCTTCATAAAAAAAAAAAAATTAAGTGTCATCTGGCCTTAGTAACAGACATGCCTGTTCATGCACTTTCAGGCGCATAAAAACCACATGGCAATGGGCTGAAGAGGGTCTGTGGAACTAAGCTACACAAAGGTTCCATGACAATTATGAGACTGTGCAGGGAGAGAGCCCTGAAACTTTGAGGGAATGTCTCAGTGAGAGAGTAAAGGAAACCAGAGAAAGTTTGGAGAGAAATAGCAAAAGGCAGGAATAAAGGCACAGGAAACAAAGGAAGACACAAAGGCAGATACAACAGCCCCTACACACACACACACACACACACACACACACACGAGCCAGTTGTAGACAGGAACAAGGACTGGATTTCAATATTATAAGAGATTGCTTCTCTGCATAGTTTACTCATGTTTTCTCAACTCTAACTCTTCTGGTTACAATGGCATCCCCAACCCCCCTGCTCCAAGACACACACTCTGGTTACTTTCTCCTGGAGGACGCATTTTCCCAGGGGATGCAAAGTCCACGGGTCTCTCACTTATTCCGAGGCTTTGCTGGGACTCCTCATTCACCTTGAAACTGAAATCCCCCACGTAAGCCTGGCCTGCTGTTCCTTCAGACACACTTCTCTCTCTGCTTTGTTTTCCTTCGCAATATTTTACACAACAGCAGCTTAGTATTTATTCTCCTCCCGGCACTGCCTCTTGAAAGCAGGAACTGTAGCCACAGTGCCAAGGATGGCTTGATACAAGCCTACGTTTGGTAAATGCATGCTGGATATTTCGACTGCCCCTGTGTGAGGATGCTTCAAGTATAATGAAAAGTATACTATCAAGTGGGAACAAAAGTAGGTAAAGTCTAGGGAGGATTCAACTTTCTGCCTACGGGAGAGAACGCATTTGCTCTTGAATCACGAACTTTCCAAGGGATAAGGAAAAAAGTAAGACATTCCAAGAAAACAAAGAGCATGGAGGTTTGAAAGGGCCTCGCACACAGTGAGAAACCAAAGCTGGGAACACCTGTAGTATGGCAGAGATGACAGTGAATCAAGCTTAAGTGAAACTCATTAAAAATACAACCGAGATAGACAATAGACACTTGACATCACACTTCTCATCTCCAGAACTCCTTCTCTGAATAGCTGTAACTTCTCAGTCACGTGTTTCAGGGGGAGCAAAGTATAACATAGTAAAGGACAACAGAATAAAATGTACATAAAGCCATGAGCGTCTGAGCCAACTTCGTGTTTGCATCCACGTTGATATGTTTGACACGTCAAGTCAGAGTGTTGCCAACGCTCTCAACACCAGGAATCAAGGCTTAAAACACCTTCACTGGTGGGAGGGCGGCTTCAATACAGAAATGGGAATGGCCGGGGCTGGAGAGATAGCGCAGCGGGTAAGGCGTTTGCTTTGCACGCGGTCGACCCGGGTTCGATTCCCAGCATCCCATATGGTCCCCAGAGCACCGCCAGGAGTAACTCCTGAGTGCAGAGCCAGGGGAAACCCCTGTGCATCACCAGGTGTGACCCAAAAACCAAAAAAAAAAAAAAAAAAAAAAAAGGGAACAGCCAAATTCAAGGGCTCCTTTTTGAGCACAATTCATTGAGCCATTCGGGGTTGGGGGTGAACTTCTTTTTGGTCATAATTAACCTGCACTTTTCCTCCCACCCTCTTTTTCTTAAAAAGCACCTGCATCCCCGTGGTTTGCAGGTGGTGCTGACGGCGGGGTGGAGGGCGAGCCTCACACCTCGTTTGGATTCAAAACTTATCTCTCGAGAACCCTGGTCCATTTCAGATTTCCCTGAAAAGGGCGCAAAAAGGCACAGCTTTAGGGAGGGCAGTTAAGAGTCAGGGTTCAAGAGCATGCAGCTCCACAGGCAGTTTCTGGAATACTGATGCTCAAGACTGGAGAGACAGACGGTGGGCACCTAAGGGTGCCCTGGGTGTTTTTGTCTGCCTGGGGCCGACGGACGAGCAAAGACATTCGGGATCCCAGAAAAGAGCGGGGGGCTCCAAGGTGCTCACCCGCAGGCCAGAGGTCAAAGCACAGGTGTGAAGCCAGGGGGCGGGGCTGACCTCCCCGCCTCCGCCCCCACCCCCGCCCGCTCCGTGTATGTGTGTATGTGTGTGTGTGTGTGTGTGTGTGTGTGGCGGCGAAGGTAAATACGGAGGGGCGCGACGACTCGGAAAAACTCACAGTAATAGGCCACCACAGGGTCCCGCTTGTCATGCTCCTGAGCAGTCCTCAGATGATGTTGTATGCTCTTAAACTGGGGGGGAAGAGGGGGCAGCGGAGCGAGAGCCGCCATCTCTACTCCAGGAATCACCACTTCCTACTTCCGCTTCCGTCCGGAGGGTCGCGAGCACCAGCGCGCATGACAGGTCCCGCCCACCCGCCGGTTGCCCAGCAACCGTAATGTCAACTACAGGTTCCCAGCAGGGACAACTATCGTTGCGCTTGACTCTGGAAGCTAAAGGCGCAGCTGTTGAGCAATTACGGCGCTGAAGACACCAGCGCTCTCTGCTGGTAGGAAAGAGTTTTTGCTTTGCTTTATTTTTTTTTTTTCTTTGCTTCATTCTTCCATTCTCCTTTCATGACGAAAAATTAGAGAAGAAAAAACACCAAGAAAGTAATGTTTGTTGACTGGGAAAAAAGCATGAATTTCCTTTTAGCATAATTCAAGAATTAGAACTTCCAAGTCCTCAGATTAAAATATTAACGACCAGAGAACTCTAATTTTAGAAATTTCAATTTAACTGTGAAATACGAAAAATGTTGTGGTGGAAGTTTTTAATTCCATCCTTTTGTTTTTGAAACATATGTTGAAGATCTTATTTCCAGTGTAAATACTGAGCACATTATAGTTAAAGAAAATAGAATCGCCCAGAACTTGGTAGTATAGAATGTACGTTATGTACAATGCATTGTTTATTTTCAGAGTGTGATGAACAATTTGCAAAATACTTTGGCACTCTCTTGATGTTTACAGAAGGCATAACAAAAAAGAGTCGTATTAAGAGAAGATGCGGGTTCAAGAAAGTACAGGGTTTGGGGCCATTCCATTGAATATTTGCTCAGTGCTGCAGACTTATCACTGTAAACATTGACTTTTGCTTTTATCATCAAGGATTTATCATTTTTCTCCACTCTCCCACTCATTATATCATCCTTCAAGACTCTATACTCAATCTCCTCTAATAATTTTCATCTTTATTTATTTTGTTTTCTTTCATTCATGTGTTTGGAAAGTTCACCTTAAAACAAGTTTTACTGAAATCACACTACTGCCAAGAACTTATCGTAGGCTCTGAAATTTTCATGTTATTCTTTTAAAAATCACTTAATCACTTAACTTCCCGTTAGTCGTCGATTTGCTCGAGCGGGCGCCAGTAACGTCTCCATTTGTCCCTGTCGCGTGCTAGTGTAGCCCAATGGCATCTTTTCGCTCCGGGAACATGGAGGGCCTCAAACCGATCGTTCATGATCTTGACAAAGAAGTCTGACCATCTGGTAGGTGGACGGCCACGCGGTCTCTTGACATCCCGTGGAATCCAATCAGTAACAGCTCTAGTCCAACGGTCGTCTTTAAATCTCATTACGTGACCAGCCCATCTGATTTTCGACACCTTGGCATATGAGACAGCGTCCCTGATCCTTGATCGTCGACGGATGTCAGAACTCCGGATTCGTTCTCTCATTTGAGTGAAACGTGTTATTCCAAGCATAGCTCTTTCTATTCTTCTTTGGGAGACCTGAATGGCGTTCTCATCTTGTTTGCGTAGGGCCCAGGTCTCTGAGGCATATGTTAATGCAGGAAGAACAGTGGAATCAAAGAGATGTGCCCGGAGCCGGAGGTTCTTCGTCCTCTTAGCTATTTCTTCGACGTTCTTGAAGGCGTTCCAAGCCGCTCTCTTCCTCCTGCGCAGCTCAGGTGCCAGGTCATTTCTCATGTTGACCTCTCGACCTAGGTACACATAGCTGTTGCATTCAATGTTCAATGTTATTCTTTAACATGTACTTTATCTACTACAACTCCAATCCTCGCAGAAGCTGCTATGACACTGTTACCCTTCATTACTTTATTCAGGGATGTTTTGTTCTGCCACTCAAGAACTGAGTTCTCAGTTCTGATATTCAACAACACATTCACAGCAATTAGGAATGTGTACTAGGCCTGGTACCTAATATGATGCCCTGAGTCTCACCAGGAGAGAACCTGAGTTCAGCCAAAGTAAATTCCGAGAACAACCATATGTGACCTAAAAACAAACAAACAAACAAAAAAACAAGCAAAGTAAAGGTAATTGTAAACCTTAGGTTAATTGGTGCATTTAGACATAGGATAGTATCAGAGAAAGTGTGTAAAGGTTAAGATTATGATTGAGGTTAGGACTAGAATTGGATTTAAATTTGTGCTTAGGTTATGATTAGGATTTTGTAGGAGTCAAGTATTAGGTTTGGCTGTGTTTAAAGTTAAGAATAAAAGCAAAGTATAGGGCAACAGTTAAATGTAACCTAATTGATAAAGTTAGGCATGAACTAAAGTCAGGGTTAGAATTAGGATTAGGGTTAGGGTTAGGGTTAGGTTTGTGTATGGGTTAGGTATGAATATTTTTAGGTGCTCATATTTAAAACTGCTTATTAAGTATAAAGCAGTTATTAAATTTAGACAGATAGAATTAGGGTTAGCAATAGGATTAGGTTTAAGATTCTGTAGGAATTAGGTGCTAGGTATAACTTTGTTTATAGCTAAAAATTAAAGTAGAATTTATTCTAATTAATGGAATTAGACATAGTTTAGGATCAGGATTAGTATAGGATTAGGAATTAGGATTCGGGTTAGGTATGGTATAGGATTATGTGTGAGTTAGGTCTTAGATTTGACTGTGTTTAATGGTAAAAATAAATGCAAAGTATATGGATATTATTAAATCTGTCCTAATTGAAGGAATTAGGCATAGGCTAAGGTCAGGGTTAGTGTAGGGTCTGTGTTAGAACTAGGATTAAACTTGCTTGTAGGTTAGGTGGTAGTAGTTTTCTATATTTATAGTTTAACGTGATAAGTATAGTGTGATTGTCAAATTTAGGCTAACTAGTAGTTTTAGGCCTAGGCTAGATTTAGACATCTCATAGGCTCAGTATAAGGTTAGCGCTAGGCTAAGGCCTAGGATTGTATAGGCCTGTGTTTAAAGTTAAAAATGAAGATACAGGGTGTTTGTAAAATTTAGACTAATTAGATTTAGGCATAGGCTAGATTTAGGGTTAGAATCGGGTTAGGGTTAGGATTAGTTTTAAGGTTAGGATTAGTCTTAGGTTTAGCATAGTGTTACGGTTAATTTTCTGTGTTAATAGTTAAAACCGCTAGTTAAGTATAGTGAAAGTGTTAAATTTTGATTTTTTGGTAGTTTAAAACCCAAGCTCGAGTCATACTCTTTATAGTATTGGGATAGGATTAAGATTAATAATAGAGCTGGGGTTACTATTGTATAGGATTTAGATATTAAGTTTATGTGTTAGATTGCATTCTAAAGTTTAAAATGAAATCAAAATATAGGGTCATCATTAATTTTAGCCTAGTTGTTGGAATCACATAAGTTAAAGTCAGGCTTAGAATAGGGTTAGCACTATAGCACTGTCCTCCTGTTGTTCATCAATTTGCTCGAGCAGGCCCAGTAACGTCACCATTGTGAGACTTGTTGTTACTGTGTTTGGCATATTGAATATGTCATGGGTAGCTTGCCAGGCTTTGCTATGTGGGTGAGATACTCTCGGTACCTTGCTGGGCTCGACTCTCAGTAGCTTGCTGGCTCTCCAACAGGGGCGGAGGAATCGAACTCAGGTTGGTGGGGCCGGCCACATGCAAGGCAAATGCCCTACCACTGTCCTATCGCTCCAGCCCAGAATAGGGTTAGTGTTAGAAGTAAGATTAGGTTTCGGTTAGATTTGCTCAAGATTCCTTTCTCATTTGCATACATTTCAGGAAAGAGGAAAAAACAAGCAAGAAACTGTATTTGAACTCTACCTACCAGCATATGCTTTGTGGTTTATACCTTCACGCTCACTGTTACTATTGTGTTTTTGGTGTAATATAAATGGAGATGTGGGTAATGAGTTATTGCTTTAATGTGATTCTCTTGGTTAAGATTCCCTAGCAAAGTTTCCACCTAAGAGGCTAACTTATGGTTCTTATGGGGCCTTAAGGGGGAGAACGTGGCCATAGTCCCGGAAAAGCCCCCTGGGCCAGCCCATACCTGGATTGGATGGGAGGATGAAAAAGGGAGGTTCCCACGGTTATCTGCGTTCCTGTTTCCCGTCCCTCACAGCTCTATGTAAGGAACAGGCTTAGCGCGGGTTTTCTCAGTCCCTCAGCCCAGATCTTCATCTTTAAAATGTAATATATCCTTGGCACCACATATGCCCCCCTGGACACCACCAGAGGTTCCTGACTGAATAGAAATAGCCCCTGAGTACCGCTGGTTGTGTTCCAACCATTCTCCATTCCCAAATAAACAGAATGTGTACTGTCTACATGAAAGAAATATTTAAGTAGCCAATTCCCTTGGTGGCTTAGAAATACCAAACTTCTGCCTGTCAGCGGAGAAGATGAGTTCAGGGAGGCCAAAGAGGCCAGATTTCACAGACTACCTTCGCAAAGAGAGTTGCAAATCCGTAGACTTCCAAAGATCTGCAAAGGAGCTTTGCTAAACCCTGATAGGTATAATGTCTTCAAACATCTTTCCAGGAAAACAACTCTGGGAAAGAAAATGAAAAATTCTTAAGATATACACAGTACTGAGAATTGTTACTGTACCTAATGGGCTACTTAGAAAATTGTTTCCAAAAAGAAAAATCTCAAGAATCTGGAGCACCTGCTTTGTGTGAAGGAGTTAGCACTGCATGCACTGGGCCACCCACCATTGGATTAGAGGCGGGGTTGGCTCACATCTGACAGTGCTCAAGGCTTACTCCCGGTTCTGCTCTTCGGGATCCCTGGTAGTGCTCAGGAGACCAGATAGAGTTCGGGGCACCTAACCTGAGTCTGCAACGTGCAATACAAGCAACTTACATACTGTATTATCTCTCAGAAACTCACAGCATGCAGAACTTTTAATAAATAATCAATCCTTACCAGCTGTGCTATGTGAGTTACGATGAATTGGTTACTCTCCTGTACATTCCTGTGGGAAAAGCATCAATGATTTAGAATTTTTAAATTTAGAAATTCATTATTTCAAACAGTGTTACACATGGAGTGGAGGGAGAATAATAGGTCAGCCACATGGCTGGAGGAGGTAAGCTGCAAGACAGAGTTACCATGTCTGGTCTGTTTTGTACG